GCACAATCGGCCCAGCCGTTCTCGAGATCTGGAAGCGGCACCCTGCACGTGCGCACGTGCAAAATGGGTCCCAACTGACTTTTGCACGGCACCCTACTAGCCGGTCCCTAGCCATGTACCAAATTTGAGCGCCATCGGTCCAGCCGTTCTCGAGATCTGGAATCGACCCCTGCACGTGCGCACGTGCAGCAGCACCCCAACTCTGGCACATGGATATGCAGTGCCTAGTGGGTGCCTACCTTCATGCCAACTTTCATCGCAATCGGCCAAGTAGTTACCGAGATATTGCAACAATTACAAAAGTGACACCTCTTCGTTTTGCACGTGGCACGTGCATAAGGGGTCACCCACATGCATCGGGAATAGTCCAATACTTGGTAGAAGGAATGAAGCTACCCTACAAAAATTACCGCATGTAAATCGGTCAAGTGGTTGCTGAGATATAAGCGTCGCAGAAGCGTGACCACGGCCGGCCGGCCGGCCGGCCGCTCATACTCAGAAATTTCCGTTATTCTACAGGGTGACACAAAAAAAGCGGTCATCACCAAAATTCGAATAACTTCGGAAGTTTTATTCAGATCATCGCCAAACTTCGGCCACTTTAGGTCACACCTATGTAGCAGACATCCACCAAGTTTCAAGTCTTCACTACGAATACTTTTAGTACAGTGTGTGTTTTACGGACGCTCCACAATGTGCTCCAGGTGAGCGCCCCGGCGCTGCAGGGCGTAGGCACACCTGCATCCGGCGGGCAAAGTTGCCAATAACCCGATAAGAATAACGTTTCAGGGGTAGCACACCCCCTGAGCACTGTCTCCAGAGGCAATTGCACTCTGTAAAGTGCACAGCCATCGGGTTATCGACAACTTTGCCCGCCGGATGCAAGTGTGCCTACACCCTGCAGCGCCGTGGCGCTCACCTGGAGCACTTTGTGGAGCGTCAGTAAAACACACACTGTACTAAAAGTATTCGTAGTGAAGACTTAAAACTTGGTGGATGTATGCTACATAGGTGTGACCTTAAGTGGCCGAAGTTTGATGATGATCTGAATAAAACTTCCGAAGTTATTCGAAATTTGGTGATGACCGTTTTTTTTTGTGTCACCCTGTACGTAAGACTCCGCTCGCTTCGCTCGCTCCGTAACCAGTAAAACGCCTTTTGGGCGAAGAACGAGCGAGCGAGATAGTGAGCCCTGCACGTGCGGAAGGGCGAGAGGATGCTTCCAACGGGCTTGCGCAAAGCACCCTTCTAAACGGTCGCTAGCGGTGTGCAAAAATTTGAACGCAATCGGCCCAGCCGTTCCTGAGATCTGGAAGCGGCATTCTGCACGTGCGCACGTGCAAACGGGGTCCAAAATGACTTTTGCACGGCACCCTACTAACTGGTCCCCAACCGTGTACCAAATTTGAGCGCAATCGGCCCAGCCGTTCTCGAGATCTGGAAACGCCCCCTGCACGTGCGCACGTGCAGCAGCACCCTAACCGCAACACATGGGAATGCATTGCCTGGTGGGTGCCTACCTGTATGCCAAGTTTCAGCGAAATCGCCCCAGTAATTACCGAGTTACTGAAATGGGAACAATTTTTTCACCTCTTATTGTTGTATTTTGCACGTGCACTGGGGGTGACCCACATGCATCGAGAGTATCCTATTTTGGGTAGAAGGGATGCTGCTACCCTACAAAAATTACCGCAAGTCAATCGCCCAAGCGGATGCTGAGATATGAGCCTCTCAAAATCACTACTTTTGCAAAACAGCTTGAACACCCTTGACTTTTCACGTGGCACGTGCCACGACGGTCACTGAGATGTATCAAAAGTAGTCAATTACGGGGTAGAAGGGATGGGGCTACCCAACAAAAAAGACCGCAGGCAAATCGGTCCAGCGGTTGCTGAGATATAAGCCTCTCAAAAGCGTTACAGGCCGGGCCGGGCCGGGCCGGGCCGCTCATACTGAGATTTTTCCGTTATATTGAAAAGACTCACTTCGCTCGCTGCGCTCGCTCGCTCGTAACAACATAATAACAAATGCGTGCACTGAATACTGTAGGTATTCAGTGCACGTATTTGCTATAAACACAGTATAAATAACATGGTGAATTCAGATGGTGAGGTTATATAGGAATATAGGCCCAATGTTGAGTGTTTTCTGCGGAGATGAAGGCAGACGGGCGGCGATGGAGCAGCGCATGGACCGCAGGCTGACCGGGCCCGGGGACAGTCGCTGCTGTCCGAGCCGTGCTCCCCGCCCTTGTCCTCAATACCACGCCGACGAGCCCGGTCAGGTCGCCGCGCCGCTCCACCGTCCATCCTCGGGCGCCGCTGGGGCTCGCTCATTAAGGTCATTAGAGCGGTAATCAAAGCTGAGGCCGGTGGGGCTGGCGGCAGCAGTGAGCTGCCCGTGACGTGCGCTGCCGTCCAGCTCACTCGCCCAGACAGGCGGAGAAGGGCGCCAGCGCTATGACCGCCTGGAACCAGCCGCGTCTGTTTACCAGTTCCAAAGAGCTGTGACCAGTTCCAAGAAAATCGTCATTGAGCCATCTCAGATTTCAGTTCAGCAGCTCATTAGCGAAATGGCCGGGCGGCGATAACGCAGGCTCCAGTGATCCCGAAACAAACCTGCCCGCGCGACGGGCATGGCAGTAGTTGTTAAATTCAGTCGCTGTGCGTCATTAAAGTCATTCAAAACGAGATTTGTTATACATTAGCCTGATCACACTAAAGAGCTCGAACGCCAGCAACACCGCCTTGGGAAGCATGCTTCAAAGTTCTTGGAAGAATAATCTGTGCAATGTGCATCTTTCTGGATGGGGATTAAAAGCAATTCGCAACAGTTGGTCTCGTATGGAAAATGGGAAAGTTTTAGCTTCTCTGCTGGGCGCAGTTTTTATTGTTTATGTTTAATTGTTTACCTATCACTTTCTCTCTTTTAAAGGGACCCTCCCACCTTAACATTAGTTTTGAGTTGAGATAGCCAAATTGGTGGCCATGACCTGCAAATACCGATTTGGACACTCACAACATCGAAAAATGCTTTAATTCGAAGATATGGAATTTCAAACTTGCAGTTTTCGGATTCTAAGGGGCTAATGCATTGGAATGCCCCTTAGAATTTGTGACGTCAGCGGAGATCTAACGATTTTTAAATCTTAGACTAAAAACATCGTTAACACGTGGTGGTATACGCTGCTTTGCGCGCAACGTCTGCCGCACTTTAGGGCTGCCAAATTATTGCTTCCAAATAAAGTCGCTAGTAACAGGGGAGATCCCAAAAAGTAAACAAAAGTAAAATAATATCTTGAAAACCAGTGAATATTTTTCGGTGAAATTTGGTAGATATTCGTTTTTGCTCTTTCTGAACCAAGGGACATCACTTTCATGCCAATTCATTAACTTTTTTGAAGGTGGGAGGGTCCCTTTAAAACTCCTTATCTAATTATATCTATTTATATCTTTATCTATTCCGATATCACCAGTATAGCGCCTTTTGGGGCGACTAACGGAGCGAGCGAGGGGGTGAGTCTTGCACGTGCGAAATTTCGAGGGGGTACCTCCAACTGACTTGTGCACGGCACCCTACTGACTGGTCTCTAGCGATGTGCCAAATTTGGGCACAATCGGCCCAGCCGTTCTCGAGATCTGGAAGCGGCACCCTGCACGTGCGCACGTGCAAAATGGGTCCCAACTGACTTGTGCACGGCACCCTAGTAACCGGTCCCTAACTGTGTACCAAATTTGAGCGCAATCGGTCGAGCCGTTCTCGAGATCTGGAAACGACCCCTGCACGTGCGCACGTGCAGCGGCCCCCCAACTCTGGCACATGGATATGCAGTGCCTAGTGGGTGCCTACCTACATGCCAACTTTCAGCGCAATCGGCCAAGTAGTTACCAAGATATTGCAACAATTACAAAAGTGACACCTCTTCGTTTTGCACGTGGCACGTGCATAAGGAGTCACCCACATGCATCGGGAATAGTCCAATACTTGGTAGAAGGAATGAAGCTACCCTACAAAAATTACCGCATGTAAATCGGTCAAGTGGTTGCTGAGATATAAGCCTCGCAAAAGCGTCCGCACGGCCGGCCGGCCGCTCATACTCAGAAATTTCCGTTATTCTACGTAAGACTCCGCTCGCTTCGCTCGCTCCGTAATAACATAATTATTTCCGCCATCATAATAACGATGTAGTGCATTCTGAGATTGACATGTGACTCACCACTTCACTGAAATCGTGCGTCTGGCATTTGCTGCACACATTAAATGCTCCCACAGAGTGCGCTTTTATATCGGACTGAAAACAAACGAGCACAATTTACCTGGAAGCTTTGATAAAATAAAGAAGCAAAATCGTCGAGAAATCACTCCGCGTAATTACAGCTCGGATGTTAAACTACCTACCATCGACTAGTAATGAATAAAAATTCCCAGGGCGGGTACAAAATTAAGGCACTTGCGATGGCTCTCAGAACCGCCTGAAGAGGGTTGTGTGGTACTGACTACTGCCATACTACATAGTCGCCCCGCAGTCTTCGTGGGTTCTGCCCAAGGTACGTACACGCCTGCCCAGACGCTCACCAGCCGACAGCCGTACACGCAGTCAGGAAACGCATTAGGCGAGTGACTGAGCCGCGCTCGACCGTCGCGTGGTCCCTGCACAGACGATGGGCGACACATAACGGCACCTGTCGTAGGTCAATTGTCACACGGAAGGCGGCCGATGAGAAATAAATGTAACATTGACCAAGAAACAGAACAATGAGTGTGATGCTTGCCAGATCGATGCATGAGGCGGACTGTGGTTAGCTTACCCGCCACACTAGGGATAGGTGGCTGCTATGGGGATACGCCTGTTTGCATTTGCATGCGCATTACTAACGCCCAAGCTTCAGCACACAGCAACCAGATAGCAACCGCTTACTGTATTGAATTCCGCGTGCCTCTATTCATAAGCATGTTATCGCTTTAGTCTGAGCTTCCACTATATGTATAAAGCCTTTTAGTGCCAATAATAACCGTGTATTGTCTCGATCAAATTCTCCTCGGCTTCGGCCGTTCCCCGTTCGGTGAGACAGAGGTCACACATCTCCAAAGAAGGACCACGAGAAAGAACAGCGAGAAAGTCACCGGCTGTGATGCGCTAGGGAGAGCTGTTGATCAGTGCCGCGCCACTCTGCCGTATTGGGGAGCGGCAGAGACCACCGAGACAGACCGGGGGCGCGCGGTGGGGGCCGGGGCGCGCGCCGCGCAGTGGACCGGGGCGGCGCGCCTACTTTTGTTTGTCCTTGTCGTCCTCTTTGGGCGGCGGCTGCTGGCGGGCGATGTTGCCCATGGCGCGTCGGACGTCTTCCGACTGCGGGTCCACGCCGGGCAGGTTCTCCAGCACCGACTGCAGGAACGCCGGATCGGACACCACCTCTAGGTAGTCGTCGTCGCCACCCTGCCGCGCACAGAGCACAGGGCGTCAGCAGGCGCCGAGCTCCCCAGCGCAGCATTGTCCGGGCGTCTGCGGCCGTGATTGAGTGGTGGTGCATCACGCACGGGAAGAATCGCTATTACAGACTGCACAGTGGTCGTAACATCCGCAGCAGAGCGGATAGCACCGACGGCACAGACCAAGCACGGCGCAGCCACGACCACAGTGCTGCCACGTATAGCAATAACACAATAAAAAGCGTACTGGGAGCACGCCGACCAGCAATATTGTCAATTATGCATTAATATGGCTGGAAAAATCGTGGAAAGCCACAATTCATAGCTCAATCAATCCAATGATTGCCAACGAGTCAATTTGTGTCAATTACGTTATTATTGGGCTGATTACTCCACGTTTTCTGTGAACATTACTCATAACATAGCGTGGAAGACGTAATACGCGCCCCGCTGGGGTATTGAGACGAGCGTGCCCTGCTGGGGAGGGCGGGGGGGGGGGCAGATTCTGGCCACTGTCTAACTTCGGATCAGATAATCGTAGAAAGACTGGGAAAAGAGCAATCGAAAGCTCTCAACAACACAGATAGTTGAGGCAAATTTTTGCCTAACTGGAGTCACAGGTCAAGTCAAGGTCAGATCAGAGCCCAGAGGGGTGTTCACGGGCAACGCAAACTGCTGAGTGCGGTGTGTGCGGTGTGTGCAGCAGGCGTGGGGGTAGGGGATGGGTAGGCGGTACTGACGTCACGGCTGCGTGCGGTGGACGGTTCCCTGTGGCCGGTCCCGACCGACCACAGCGGTCGCTGTGTGCGGTGACGGAAGGCTTACGTAGGGACGCATGGACGGAGCTTACAGCCTGTGTACGGTCCGACCGCACACAGGGCCCGCGAACAGCCCTCAGGTCAAGAGTAAAAATACAACTTTCTACACTATTGACTTGGGAGCGCAGTTAGCGAAGAGTAGATTCAGATTGATCACCCAGAACGCGTCATCTACTATACTATTTGTGAAATGAAACTCTGTCTGTCTGTCTGTTTGCACCGTGCAGAGGTGTGCTTTGACGCCGTGCGCAGGTCAAACGGTACGGTCGAGGGGGCTGAAATTTTCGCAGCGTGTTGATGACGTCACGCGCACGTGCAGTGTCGAGGTTCGAGTCTCGAGGGGTGGATGGTTCGCACGTGGCACGCCCTAGAAAAAGGTGCATTTTCTCACAAATTTGCTCGGTCTTCAAGGCATCGGCAGCCGGGTTCGATGGGTTCGATGGACTTTGCAACTAAAATGCATGGCAAGCGGAGGCAGGTGCTTCTGATTTGCGGACTGCAGCTTATTTATTTTGATAAACAGATGCGAATGAAGGCGTTGATTTTCATTGAATGGGGACAGTTTTCAATGCGCTAACACAAATGCACCGGGTTTGCCGCAATGCGCCACATTTGTCGAAAGGCGCCATTTTTGCCGGAAATTGCACAACTTTGTCAAATATAGTCCGATAAAGGTGCAATTCGGTGAAAGGATGCATGGCAAAAGGACTGGCATAAATGCGCCACTTTTGCCGCAATGCGCCACATTTGTCTCAAGGCCCCATTTTTACCAAATGCGATAAAGCATAATGGAGTGAAACGTGTAGGAGCAGTTTTAAGAACTCTTTTTTTAGTTTATCAGTTTGTCTGATAGTCTGTGACCTCACTTGACCCAGTGGTAGTGGTAGGTGTAGTGGTTACGAGCGAGCGAGCGCAGCGAGCGAAGCGAAGTCTTTTCAATATAACGGAAAAATCTCAGTATGAGCGGCCCGGCCCGGCCCGGCCCGGCCCGGCCCGGCCCGGCCCGGCCTGTAACGCTTTTGAGAGGCTTATATCTCAGCAACCGCTGGATCGAATGGCCTGCGGTCTTTTTTGCTGGGTAGCCCCATCCCTTCTACCCCGTAATTGACTACTTTTGATACATCTCAGTGACCGCCGTGGCACGTGCCACGTGAAAAGTCAAGGATGTTCAAGCAGTTTTGCAAAAGTAATGATTTTGAGAGGCCCATATCTCAGCAACGGCTTGAGCGATTGTCTTGCGGTCATTTTTATAGGGTAGCTGCATCCCTTCTACCAAAGGTCGGATACTCTTCATCTATGTGAGTGACCCCCACTGCACGTGCAAAATACAACAATAAGAGGTGCCAAATTTGTTCCCATTTCAGTAACTCGGTAATTACTGGGGCGATTTCGCTGAAACTTGGCATACAGGTAGGCACCCACCAGGCAATGCATTCTCATGTGTTGCGGGTAGCGTGCTACTGCACGTGCGCACGTGCAGGGGGCGTTTCCAGATCTCGAGAACGGCTGGGCCGATTGCGCTCAAATTTGGTACACGGTTGGGGACCGGTTAGTAGGGTGCCGTGCAAAAGTCATTTTGGACCCCGTTTGCACGTGCGCACGTGCAGAATGCCGCTTCCAGATCTCAGGAACTGCTGGGCCGATTGCGTTCAAATTTGGTACACCGCTAGCGACCGGTTAGAAGGGTGCTTTGCACAAGCCCGTTGGAAGTACCCTCTCGCCCTTCTGCACGTGCAGGGCTCACTATCTCGCTCGCTCGTTCTTCGCCGAAAAGGCGTTTTACTGGTAGTAGTATTGGTAGGAGTAGCGGTAGGGGTAGTGGTAGGGGCAGTGTTAGGGGTAGTAGTAGGGGTAGTGGTAGGGGTAGGGGTAGTGGTAGTGGTAGGGGTAGTAGTAGGGGTAGGGGTAGGGGTAGTGGTAGTGGTAGTGGTAGGGGTAGGGGTAGGGGTAGAGGTAGTGGTAGGGGTAGTGGTAGACTGGTAGGGGTAGTGGTAGGGGTAGGGGTAGTAGTAGGGGTAGTGGTAGCGGTAGTAGTAGGGGTAGTGGTAGGGGTAGTAGTAGGGTTAGTGGTAGGGGTAGGGGTAGTGTTAGGGTAGTGGTAGGGTAGTAGTAGGGGTAGTGGTAGGGGTAGTGGTAGGGGTAGTGGTAGGGGTAGTGGTAGTAGAAGTGTGGTCCAGGCCGATTCAATGTGACGAGGTGACCTATACGACCTGGCCTGACCGAAGGTGACCTGGCCTGACCCAGTGTGACCAGGGATGACCACCTTGACCTGACTTGACTCCGTATGACCCAAATGTCATACAACTAAGCCCTCAGAATAGGAAAATGCACGTTTCCGTCCATATCTCTGCTTCCAGACGACCGATCAGTTTAAATCAAACACCATTCGAAAGCAAATTGGCTGCTGCCGCATTTTATGGCTACGCCGCGAAGCAAGTGGCGCAGCCGCTTGTCTATATTACTATTTGAGGAAGGCGTAGTTTCTGTCTATTACGAAGGTCGCGACATGGTGCTACGTAGCGCGGGTTACAGATCACACCGTTGCACCTACCGCGCTGAAATTTGCGCAAGTTATAGAACAAGGATGGACAACGTGCCTTTGAGCGGTCTCGGCTCGATCGGATCGATAGCGAGCGCGTGGCGCGTGCCCAAAAAGTGCAAATTCGCGTCATAGACTTTACATGTATAAATCGGCTGGCAAAAACGGGCGAAAATGGCTAAATTTGCCCGACACGGGTCCGTTCCCCGTGCAATATCTCGGTAGCCGTGCGCCCGATCGGCACGGGGAAAACAGCATCGTGTAGAGAATCGAACGGGCAATCGAATAGTGTGCGGTGCAGGGGTGGCACGCGCCACGTGCAAGTGTGAGGGCAATTTCATTTCAAAAAGTGCCATTTTAAACGGATTTTGGATTTTATTTTATTTTCCCGTGACCATCAGACTGAGAGAGTTGAAACAACGTCAATTGGCAAGAGAAATGTACCGCCTCTCATGGAAAAATTGTGAACAGCTAATTGATCAAAAACAATGTGGAAAAAATCGCTGAATTAAATGGTATTTGTCCATAATGTGCCACTAAAAAGTTACACGGGATTTGCTGCTTAACCTGATACGCTTGACAATTGAAAATGCTATCATTAGAAAGAGCATTCAATTCTCTCCAAGATCCAATCATCACGTTTGGATGACAAGCAACAGTATTCTTAAAAATATAAATGTTTTAAACCTCTGCAAAACGATTTTTAGCGAAAATTATCTACGCCTTTCATTTGTCTTAAAACTACGCACCTCAATTATAAAGCACATTTGACAGATTCTGAAGTGGAAAGCATGCTTATCAGACACGGGCACCTCGATGCGGTGGATATTTTTTCCACAAACCAAAACGTTTAGCAGTCAAAAAACAATCGACCGAAATGGATAGATAACCCAACCGACACAAGAACAACCGAACACCCGCCGATCGAAAATATCCCTTTTCGCGTTGCGGAGCACGCGGGTCACCCTAGTTAGTCTACTAAGACAATAGGTATGCATTGCATATAATCCAATGCAAAGGTTAAGGTCAAAGTCAGGTCAGGTAACCAAATACGAATTCTGAATAGGATATGCGCGACACGTGATTTGTGGGTTATTTTACTAAGAAAACTAAATGGGAGTGCTCAATTAGCAATACAATTGGTACGAGCGAGCGAGCGCAGCGAGCGAAGCGAAGTCTTTTCAATATAACGGAAAAATCTCAGTATGAGCGGCCCGGCCCGGCCTGTAACGCTTTTGAGAGGCTTATATCTCAGCAACCGCTGGACCGAATGGCCTGCGGTCTTTTTTGCTGGGTAGCCCCATCCCTTCTACCCCGTAATTGACTACTCTTGATACATCTCAGTGACCGCCGTGGCACGTGCCACGTGAAAAGTCAAGGGTGTTCAAGCAGTTTTGCAAAAGTAATGATTTTGAGAGGCCCATATCTCAGCAGCGGCTTGAGCGATTGTCTTGAGGTCATTTTTATAGGGTAGCTGCATCCCTTCTACTAAAGGTCGGATACTCTTCATCTATGTGAGTGACCCCCACTGCACGTGCAAAATACAACAATAAGAGGTGCCAAATTTGTTCCCATTTCAGTAACTCGGTAATTACTGGGGCGATTTCGCTGAAACTTGGCATACATGTAGGCACCCACCAGGCAATGCAT